AATTTTATTTAAATACTTTTTTTAAAGAATAAATTTTTATTTAATTTTATTTTTAAAAAGATTAAAAATAAAATTATTAAAATTTTTATTTAAAAAATTAGTTTTTTATGATAAAAATAAACGAAAATATTTTATTATTTTTGTGAGGATAATTATTGCCTTTAAAAATTAAATTAAACTAAAAATAAACACTATTTAACCTTATGTTTAAAATAATAATTAACGTATATATATTAAAACGGATTTAGAAACTGATAAACTTAACTTTTTTGATTAAATTAATATTTTTTTTAAAACTCTAATTAATAACAAAAATTATAATAATATCTTAAATAAATAAAATTAAATTATATTAATAATATAAAATATATTATAAATATAACATAAATTATTTAATATATTAATATATATATTATAAATTTAATATATAAATGAGATAATAGTATATTTATTAAATAAATATAATATTTCTCTTTTATTTTTATTAATAAAATCATACTAATTATAAAAATTTTTATCTATTACTGTATTAATTTGTAAATATATAGAAATTTTTATATTTTTAATAATTAAAGTTAATAATAAATTTGAAAAACTGTGAAGAAAATAATTTTAATAATTTAATTAAAAATAAAAAGAACCTAAAAATTATATAAAAATATATACAATTTGAATTTGATATGTTTCATTTATTTGAAATTCTATTAGTTTTTTATTATGAAAATATTATAATTTTTTATTTTTTGTCTTTCTAAAGCTTCTCTTTGTAATTATTATAAATTATATAGATTACATAGATATTTTTTTAATGTTATTTCTTTCTTTATAAATTAAAAATTTTATATTATATATAATAAATTTATTTCTAAACTTACAAAATTATAATTTAATTTTTATTTTTTTTCCATAATAATAATATTTATTTATTATTTTTATAATGAATATTTTTTGTTCATATTTCTTTTAAATATAATTTATATTAATTATATAAAAACTATATTTTCAATTTAAAAAAGATTAATTTATAAATATAAAAATATTAATAATAAAAGAAATCATTTTTATATTTCACAAAAAATAATCAGGAATATCTCTTTTAACTGAATTAAATTCTTTTACATCTTAAGGTGCTGCTTCAAAAACTTTATATTATTTTTACAAATTTTCATCTAATTCTAAAATAGCAGCCACATTACCCATTCTAAAATACATATGTATATATATAAAATCATATGTAAAAAAAAAATTAAATGAAATACCTATAACAATAATTAGGAGCTGACCAAATAGTAACTAATTTATCATTAAAAATGGCTTTATACCCGTCCATAACCAATTAATGTGCTCTAAATATAATTTCAATATTATTTTTTTTACAAAAATCATTAACAATACTTTATCCAAATAAATATCCTGCTCCTCTCTAACTTTATGCCCATCCCTAAACATCTATATTTTATTTAATATAAATATATATATTACAAAATTGCTAAATAATAAAATAAAATATACCATCTGGATCTGACCACATCATATCACTCATAATTCCATCATGCGGAATCTCAATTCTTCTTTCAACATTTTAAATATCCTCTAAAACCCTAATTCCTGGGGATAATCCACCATGTACACAGAAATATTTATTGTCAATAACTGCTGCTAAAGGTAGGTAGTCAAAAGCTTCAGTACATGACCTCCAAACATTAATAGAGCCATATTTTCTTAAACATTCATCGTAAAAACCGTAATTTTACGTAATTAATCTGGATTCATGATTTCCTCTTATTAAAATTATTCTTTCTGGATATCTAACTTTTAATGCGAGTAATAAAAGGAATGTTTCTACTGAATTATATCCACGGTCTACATAATCTCCTAAAAATAAATAATTCGTTTAAGGGACTTCTCCGCCGATTTTAAATAGTTCTAAAAGATCCCAAAATTAACCATGTATATCTCCACATATCTTTTATTTATTTATTAGGTTATTTTTAAAAAATGAAATAAAATATAATAAAAATATTTCGCTATTTAATATCATGTTTTTATTTTCAATAATTAATTAATATATTAATATTTTTTAAAAAATAAATAAATACTGAAATTGGTGCTTCTACATATACTAAATTAGGTTCTTCATTTAATATTTATTTGACTTTATTACATAACTCTTTTACTTCTTATTCCTTTAAACGCTCACATTTTTTTAATTGTTCTAATTATTTATCTATATTTGTATTTGATGACATTTTATCTAATTAATTTATTTCTTATTTTTATATATATATTTTTTTTTTATAAAAAATAATATTTATTTAATATATAAGAATTTTTCTATTTAAATATAAATAAATATATATTTTTTAAAAAAGAGCTTTTTTAAAAAAAAATATTTAATAAAGTTAAAATACACTTTAAAATAATTTAGCATTAAATTAAAAAAATAAATATTTTATTAAAATTATATTTTTTAAAATTAATCTTAATTTAAAAATAAATTTTAAATTATTAACAACCAAAAAAAATAAGTATAAAAATAATTTCTTTTAAAAAATATATTAATTAAGTTTATAAAAATAAATTTTTTTAACTTCATAATTTAAAAAAATTAATATAAATTAAATTAAAGGATTTATACTTAATAACAATATTTTTAAAGTATAATATATAAATTTACAATTAAAATGTAAAAATAAAATTAAAGAAAGGAAAAAAGAAAATACTTTATTAAAAATACAAATTTAATTAAGATTTGAATTAAATAATTTTATCTTTTTTTAAAAAATAAAATAAAATTCATATAATATAAATATTTATTAAGTATTAAATTTTAAGTTTATAATTCAAGTTTTATTAAAAAAAAAAAAATCTTCCTTAGAAATTTAATTCATGATTAAATGGCTTTCAAACTTAAAACTATATATAATAATAACCCTTTTTGATAAATTCAAAGTTAATTAAACATATAATAAATTCTTTAAGGATTTAGATATAAATTTTATCCTATAGATTAGATTATTTTTAATTATGGTATAATTGTTTAAAATCTAATATAATTTTTATTTTTTGATTATAAAATAAAAATATTAATTTGGAAGAAATTATTATTAGATATTAAAATATAATTATTAATCTAAAAAAAATTAAATGGATAAATAAATAAACTAAAATTTTAAAGAAATTTAAATTAATTTAAAGTAGCAAAAAAAAATTCTTATATTTTTCATAAATAATATATATTATAATCATCTTAAGTTTATTTAATATATATAATTCGTAAAAAATGTTCTTATTTTTATTTTAATATAAATATTTATTCTAAAAGTAAGTACTTTTCTTAAAAAATATAAAATAAAGACAATTTTTAATAATTAAAAAAAAGTAATTTAAAAAAAAAATTATGTTTTTATTTTAAATAAATAAAATTAAAAGAAAAATTAAAAAAGGTGATTAAAAAGATTAAATAAAATAATATAAAACTAAGAAAAAAATAAATAAATGTATTTATCATAAGAAAATTAAAATTTATAATAAGAAAATTGATGAGCTTAGTTAAATAATATAAAAATCAGATGAAATAAGACCAAAATAATAATTTTTAAACATAATAGAAAAAAAATTAAAAATAATAAACTTAAAAAATTAAATGATAATATATTTAATTAATTAATAATTTTAAAATAAAAAAATTAATAAAAAGAAGTATATATAAAAAATTTAATTATAGAACACTAAAGATAAATATTTAATTAAATCATAAAAATATTTTATAAAATAATATAAATTATTCAATTAACTTTTCATATAAATATAAATTAAATATTTTATAGAATAATAATATTTCTATGTAATAAAAAAAAGTAATTCAATTCTAATATGTTAAAATAAATAAAAACTAATTTTTTAAAAAGTTCATTTAAGAAATTATTTAAAGTAAAAATTTGAAATATGAAATGATAATATAATAGTTTATATTAAAAGTTATAAAAAAAAGATATAAAGATAATTAAATAAAAATATAATATTAAGTAATTAATGTAAATCAAATAAATATAAAAATCATTTAATAATTTAATAATAATGAAGATAAATGATTTAAGTCAGTGAATAAAAAAAAATTTAAAAAATAATAATAGTCTTTATTATAAAAAGAAAAAATAAATAAAGAAAACATATATAAATATATAAATATATAAATATATAAATATATAAATATATATATAATATATACAAACATATAAATAAAAAAGAAAATAATAGACATATATATAAATCAAAATTTTAATAAATAAATAATTATAATATTGAACATCACTATAAATATATAATTAATTTATTTTATTAAAATAATATTTTTATATTTAATATAATTTTTTTTTATAAAATCATTAATCTTTTTATATTTTTTCAAATACATTTGGATGCTTTAATCTATAAAAATCACTTGGTATATTATAAAGAAAATTATATGAATAATAGTAAACATTTTCAACAAAAGATCTTTTAGGATATATTTTTTTTCTACATTCTTCAAACAATTAATTATTTTTAGAAATCTTATCTCCGGCTTGTAAAACCAGTTTAGATTTGCATTTCGCAATCTCTTTGCATAAAGCTATTGGATTTTCATATTTTTTAAAAGCATTTTCGCTCAAGATAATTTATAAATTTTAGTAAAAATCATCGGCTATTTATTTCCATACCTTTTCGTTTTTAGGCCATTTTTGTTCCAAATCTATTGTATCAACTTAGAAATTTTTTTTTAATGTATATTCACAAAATCTAAGTCCTATTTATTCATTAAATTCAGCTTTTTCTTTTAAAGCTTTTTTTCCATCAAAATAAATAACAACAACTAATATATATAAAATAAAAGAATAAATTAAACATTAAAATAATATATATATATATTAAAAAATATATATATATATATATATATATAAATATATATTTTTATATATATCTATTATAAAACTTATAAAATAATACCTAAAAGACATAAAAAAACTCTAAAAGGCAAAGAATGAATAATAAAACAGAACATAAAAAGACTAAAAATCAAATATTTGGATCTTATTGGATCTTTCCAAATAATAAGATTTTTCATTTTTTCACAAAAATTGGATATCAGTATAATATAAGAATTAATTTAATACACTTTTTTTTTAAGCGAATAATATTTTTAAATTATAGATTCACTTTTTTCATCATTATCATATATTTGCATATTTTAAATATTTATTTTATTAAAACTATTTCGAAAGGATTCAAAAGTTTTCTCATCATCCGTTTAAAATGTAGATTCGTAAAAAAACTCATTTTTTTTTACCAAAAAATAATTCTTTATAAATTCATTTACTTTTCTATTTATATTCTCTTGGAAGTACAAGCAACTCACAGCAATAAACAATGTAATATGAGTAAAAGCATTTTTTACGTCACAAAGAATTATATATATAAAAATTAAAAAATAAATAATTTAACTTAAAAAAGGGTATTTGAAATTATATATAGTTTCTAAATTTTGTAAAAACATTTCTATGTAACCTATTATTCGTTTAAATCGTTAAATACCTAATAAAAAATCTTCCAAAGAATCTAATTTTTAATCTCCTTCTTCATAATTATGTGGATTTTTGGCAAAGATAGCTAGTTTATTAGAATCATTTCTTATATTTAATTTTACAAATTTATTTTTCTTTGGCTCTTATTAAACTTATTAATTACATAAATATATTTATTCTTCTTCGATTTCTAATTCAAGATTCTAAAATTTATTAAAAAAAATAAAAATAAAAAAAAAATACTTTTATTTCGTAACCACAATTCTTACTTATTATGTCAGCATATTAAAATTTAGACCTTCCAACAATAGTTTCTTTCAATTTTTATCTAAGCCATCCATCATTTATTATATTTATAAATTCAAAATATATAATTTCGAAAGGATTGCTTATAGGTCTAAATAAAAAAATAAAATAATATAAATAAAAATAAAAATGAAAATAAAAATTAAAAAAAAAATATATATATATATATATATATATATATATATATATTTTTTTTTTTATTACTATTTATTATTTATAATAAATATATTTTTATTTTTTTATAATTCTTTATTTTATTTTTTAATAAATATTTTTTATATAATAAATACATTGAAAACTCTTATTTAAAAGCAACCCCATTTTATGTATGCATGTGTATAGATGAATTAAATGTAAAATGGTTTGTTTTAATTCTTAGTATAACTGGTTCATTTAATTCTACATTTAATTCTGAACATTTATGAACTTTGTTTTTTATAAATATACAAACAATTATATTTTTGTTTATTTATATATTTACTATAAATAACAATTTTTCCTATTGAAGTAAAAGAATTAGAAGTATCAAATCTAGTTTTTTTACTAATTTCTTATAATTCCTATATTCTTTTTTTAGTTTAATTATTATTTTTATTTTTTATTTCTATCGGTTTATAATCATATTCATGGTACATATTTATTATATTTTAATTTATTTAACTTTATTCAATTTAAATTTAATGAATACATATTAATTTGCTAAAATTACTATCCTAAAAAATATTAATACATTAAATATATATTAAAAATAATACATGTATTTTTTAAAAAAGCAGCATGTCATGTCCTTTAAATTTAACATAATAATCCACAAACTCATTCTTATGATAAAATTTAATCTGCATTTTTTAATCAAAATTACTAATTTTTTCTTCATTTTCCTCATCAGATTATAGTTCTTAAATCTATTAAGAAAAATTACTATTCTTATGCACATTTATTTACTAAGAAGATGTTAATTCTTATTACTCACTATATTTTATGCTTTTCTAATCGAAATCAATATTGGAACAACTTATAGAATTTTATTTACTTTAAAAAGTTTATTTAATTGTTTCTACTTTAGTAGTTAGCATACAACTAGAAGAAGTTTGAATATTTTATTCACTATTTATTGAAATATTATCCTCATCTTTTATTTTATTATTAAAAATAGAATTTATGTCTTCTTAAGATACCATTAATTATTAAGATTCTTCAGCCTATAATTAACTTAATCTTTAGATTCTTTATTTTCCCTTCTTAAGTACTAATATTTTTTTATTTTTTTGTAAAATATATTTAATTTTTACAATTTTAAACTAAAAATACAAATAATGATTTTATAAACTCATTCCTTTTTTCAGGGTACATTTCGGCGTATTTTAAAATTGAATTTA